TTGTGGGAACACAGGCCTCAAGTCTAGGTTCACCCCTAAGCGTTTTCCGCTGCGTTTTGCAGAAACGCACAGCAGTCCATTTATTATTATTATTATTATTATTATTATACAGTATTTATATAGCGCCAAAAAGTTTGCTCAGCACTGTACAATATAGTGGGAGACAGTACATGAGACAATACAGTAACAGGGGTTCGAGGGCCCTGCTCTTTTGAGCTTACAATCTAGGAGGGAGGGGATAGCGGTACAGGAGGAAGTGGCTGTGGGGGATGGAGTGGTAGGAGGAGTGGAGGAGATCGGCTGTTAGATGAGGGTGGGGTAAGCTTCCCTGAAGAGATGGGTTTTCAGGGTGCGCCTAAAGGTGAGGAGGGTAGGTCTGATGGATCGGGGTAGTGAGTTCCAGAGGATGGGGGAAGTCCTGGAGAAGTCCTGCAGTCGGGCATGGGAGGAGGAGACCAGGGAGCTAGAAAGTAGGAGGTCTTGTGAGGAGTGAAGATTACGGGTTGGGTGGTATTTGGGTATCAGGTCGGTGAGGTAGTTTGGGGCAGTGTTATGAATGGCTTTGTACGTCAATGTTAGTTTGAATTTAATGCGTTGGCATTTTTCCTATGGGACAGGTTCACATCTCCACGTTTTCACTCGGTGTGTTTTTTTTAAAAAGGGTCAGGGACATTTTTAAACACAAAACATTGTGTTTTTGGTTCTGTAGACGTCAATGGAGACACTGCAGAAAAGCATGTAGTGTGTTTTTGATATGTTTTTGACACATTTTTGATGCGTTTTGCATTTTAATCTGCCTAGCAACAAGTAAAACAAATGCAAAAAAAAATGTAAAAATGTATGTGCAAAAAACACAAAATGCACTGCAGAAACAGATCAAACACAAATTGCATAGGTGTGAACCTAGCCTAACAGAGGTTTAAACTCTTCCTTAGTGAAAATTCCAAAATGAATAACTTGGCTTTAGATAGACTTTAACATAAATTATTAATTTTAACAGAGTGCCTAATAAATCATAATTACCTATAGCAGAGCATGCTGGAAATGAGGTAACCCTGCTGTTTCTAGCTACTATTAAACATACATTTCACAACAATGTCAGCTTGTAAACTGCTCCTAATCTTCTGCGTACACCATGACAAGAGCTATTTACTGCAATAGAAGAGCCTCTGTAGTCATTAAACAGTTACTCTGAAAAATTGTTACACTGTAGTTACTGTTTTATTCATAGGTAGGTCAAAGTTGTGACCTTTGATCTGCATATGACATCAATTAAATAAAAAAAAAAAGTATAAATAAACTGAATTCTCCTATAATCCCCTATGAATCCCTAGTTAACCCTAATTAGTCTTAATTTACTTCTTCCTCCCCTACTTTTATTATTATGTATTTAATTTTTTAAATTTATATATTTGTTACTATTAATACTTATTTTATACATTTTCCAACAAATGCAATATTTAAAAAAAAAAAAAAAAATTTTATTTGCAAATATCTTTGCCACGCTTTTTACCGAAATCATTTTAGTGCCCTTTTTTTAAGCTGGACAAATTATAGAATACAATATATTCTTTACAATAACACAATTCCTTTTGGAAAACAGTGGTGAAAATAGAAGCAAGTAATTTGTCTTACTTTTTTTTTTTTTTTTTAAAGATTAAATAAAATTTATACTAGAACTAAAGGCAATTTTTAAAAATGTTTTGGGATAAAGCAAGGGAGGGTTATGGTCCTTGTCATATTTTGTCCCATCGGGACGATTTTCCTTCACTTCCACCCCATAGCCAAAACAGGAATTGAGAAAAATTCCCTTCAAAGTGAGGAAGTCCCTGGTTGTCACCAGAACTAGTGACTAGGGTCCCCAGATCTAGGGACACAGACAGCAATAAAAAACTGAAAGGTGTTGTAAACATTCTCTTCTCTACCCCAAACTAAGCAAAAAGGTTTCCCTTTAGTTATACGTTATATCATTTTTCCAAGCCAAAAGAAAGTCTAGTTTGGGGGCCAGCTGCAAGTACCAGGAGAAGACAGCCAACTCCTGATGACATCATACAGGAAGGTGGTGGTGCTGGACCTGCTCTGCAGAAGTGGAATGGCAGATCACAGCAGGACAGTGGTGGATTCACTGAGATTGCATGTGAATTGAGGCCCCATCAATAGGGCAGAATTCTCCCATTGACACCAATAATGGGGCACTATTCCTCCCACTGACACCAATGATGCGGCACTATTCCTCCCACTGACACTAATGATGGGGCACTATTCCTCACACTGACACCAATGATGGGGCACTATTCCTCCCACTGACACCAATGATGGGGCACTATTCCTTCCACTGACACCAATGATGGGGCACTATTCCTCCCACTGACACCAATGATGGGGCATTATTCCTTCCACTGATACCAACAATAAGGCAGAATTAATTCCGTTGACACTGGTAATTGGGCACTATTCCTCCCACTGACACCAAAGATAGAGTATTGTTTACTCCCACGTGACGCCAGGACATAAGCTTCTCCCACTGGCCCTAGTCCAGCCCCTCTAAAGTCTGAAGTACAGTAAACTGGCCCTTTGTTTAGAAAGTTTGGAGACTCGTGGTTTAGAGCATTATTATGAACTACAGCAATAGAACATAAGGCAAATGCTGCTGGTTTGTCCCTCAGAACTACAAAATGTTTTCAGTTTAGATCACATGTGTCAAACACAAGACCCACACGCTGAATTCAGCCCTTCAAGCTATTTCATGTGGCCCTTGCAGCCAGGGCTTTTTTTCAGCCAGAACATGGTGGAACACCATTCTGCTACCTCCAGCACTCGTCCTCTGCTCTGCTAAAGAAACCTTCTGTTTTTATAGGGACAGCTTTACTCTTGATAACTCTCACAGCTCTCACTGCATTGTGGGGCATGGCAGAGACAGATAACATTGAATAAGGATATAATGCACATGCGCTCCCACAAATAAAAGATAAGCTGCTGCAAGCACCTAAATGAATTCCCACATCAATAAAACTCCTCAAGACTAGTGCTGCACTGCCCTCTAGTGACTCAAAAAATATACCAATAATAAATAAACACCCTCCTGAGCATCAAACCCAATGTGCAATAGAATAAAGCTGTGAAATCTATTACACATTTGGTTTGATGCTCAGGAGGGTGTTTATTTATTATTAGTGTAGTTTTTGGGTCACTAGAGGGCAGTGCAGCACTATTCTTGGGGAGATAACATTGAATGATCTCTCTGCAATTGAGAGAGAAAAAGGTGTAACTGCCTACACTGCCTGGAGGTACTATTGACGGGCTGGGTAGGTGAAATGTTAGGAAGCTTATGGGGGTGGGGGGAGAAATGAGAGCTTTTGAAGAAGATATATGCAGAGGTGTGGGTTGGGGAGAGTGGTGCAGAGTCAGAGCCGAGGAGGAGGGGGGTGGAAGTGAGATATGGACAGCTTTTGAAAGAGAGGTGAACCCTGCACTCTGTACCCCTAGACCTTGCACTCTGTATGTAACACATTCTTCAACTCTGCTGCTCTGCATGTAGTGCACCCCTAGACCCTGCACTTTATATGTAACGCATTCCTCAACACTGCACTCTGTAGTGCACCCCTAGACCCTGCACTCTGTATGTAATACATTCCTCAACTCTGCACTCTGTACGTAGTGTACCCCTAGACCCTGCACTCTGTATGTAATGCATTCCTGAACTCTGCACTCTGTACGTAGTGTACCCCTAGACTCTGCACTCTGTATGTAGCGCACTCCTGAACTCTGCACTCTGTATGTAGCACACTCCTGAACTCTGCACTCTGTATGTAGCGCACTCCTGAACTCTGCACTCTGTCTGTAGCGCACTTCTGCACTCTGCACTCTGTATGTAGCACACTCCTGAACTCTGCACTCTGTATGTAGCACACTCCTGAACTCTGCACTCTGTATGTAGCACACTCCTGAACTCTGCACTCTGTATGTAGCACACTCCTGAACTCTGCACTCTGTATGTAGCACACTCCTGAACTCTGCACTCTGTATGTAGCGCACTCCTGAACTCTGCACTCTGTATGTAGTGCACTCCTGAACTCTGCATACATAATCTTACAGATACAACCCACCCTTTGAGGGCAACCATAATTACAATGTGGCCCTCGATGAAATTGAGTTTGACACCCCTGCTTTAGATACACTTTAATGCCCTGTTCCCAGTCTTTTTTCTTCCATATAACAGCTCTGGTGCTTGGTGATTGGCCCAGTGCAATCACATGGGTGTGGAGGCCTTCTTAGGCTCTGGAATAGTGTCTTTGTTCTGTCCGAGGAGGTGTAAGCAAGGACTGACTAGAACCATATAAAAACATTATTCAGGCTATAGTAAAAGAAGAGCAGTGGCTGTTTTAAATGGGTTCTTATTGTATAGTACATCTGAAAGTCTGCTTTTTTAAGTACAGTAATTTCCATAAGACGGATTTTATCAATTCACACTGCGTACTCCACTACTCTGTTAAAAAGTGTAAAGAAAATCGCTAAACATACAGTATATACTGTACATGTGCATATATTTATATATATATATATAATGTCAATGATGTGAGTGACATTTGCGTTCACTGCACAAGCACCAAATGCTCACTTACTTGGGCACAATGTCAATCAAATTTTTGGCCATAGCAAACCTGTGAAAAGTTGCAGTCCTACTAATTTTTATTCTTGTCAATCTGACGTAGTCACATCTTAACATTACACTAACAATTTATGCAAACCATTCTTTTTTCTTCTACGTGCATCAAAGTTTGCCACTATACCATTCAGCTGCATTCCGTAACAACACAGCGTTAATGGGACATCTTTCAGCTCATCTCAGGGACTTTTAACCACCTCCCGCCCGCCATATAGTAATATGACAGACGCAAGGTAATTCTCTCATTCTGGGAGGACGTCATATAACGTCCTTCCATTCTCACCGCGCATGCGCGACTCAGGGAGCACGCAGCGCGGCGATCGGCGGTGCGCTGTGTCCATCGGACACAGTGGATCACTGATCACGGAAAGAGCCAAAGATGTCGGCTCGGTCATGTGATCAGCTGTGTCCAATCACAGCTGATCACATGTAAACAGGGAAATGCCGGTTATCGGCATTTCTCTCCTCTCGAGCTGTCACACTGACAGCTCGAGAGGAGAGGAGAGCCGGTAATCGGCATTCCTCAGAGGGGACATGTACTCTGATCATCAGGGCACTGATGATCAGTGTAGCCCCAGCAGTGCCACCTGTCAGTGTCCATCAGTGCCTTGTGTCAGTGCTCATCACTGCCTCGTGCCAGTGCCCATCAGTGCCACATCTATGCCACATACAAGTGTCTACCAGTGCACATCAATACCACATATCAGTGCCCATCTGAGCTGCCTTTCAGTGTCACCCATCAGTGCCAGTCAGTGCCACCTATCAATGCCAATCGGTGCCACCTATCAGTGCTGCCAATCAGTGCCACCTATGAGTGCCCAGTCAGTGCCGCCTATTAGTGCCAGTCAGTGCCCGCCTATCAGTGCGCATCAGTGCCGCCTATCAGTGCCAGTCAGTGCCTGTCAGTGCCGCCTAACAGTGCTGCCTAACAGTGCTAGTCAGTGCCGCCTAACAGTGTCATGTATCAGTGCTGCCTTTCAGTGCCCATCAGTGATGCCTGTCAATGCCCATCAGTGCCACCTACCAGTGCCTCCTCATCAGTGCTACCTATCAGTGTCCATCAGTGCAGCCTGTCAGTGCCCATCAGTGAAGCCTATCAGTGCCTATCACTGCAGCCTCACTAGTGCACATCAGTGAAGGAGAAAAATCACTTATATACAAAATTTTATAACAAAAACTAAGAAAAAAACGTTTGTTTTTCAAAATTTTCAGTGGTTTTTGGTTTGTTTAAGAAAAAAATAAAAAACCCAGAGGTGATTAAATACCACCAAAATAAAGGTCTATCTGTCACAAAAAAATTATCAAATTTTCATATGAGTACAGTGTTGCATGACTGCGCAATTGTCACTCAAAGTGCAACAGCGCTGAAAGCTGGACATTTTTGTGTTTGAGGTTCATTGCACTGCACTTGAGTTGCACCCTCTTTTCTGTTTTACCTATCATTAGGCTCTTATACATATTCATGATCCTCAACAGCATGTTAGGTCCAAGGCACATATTTTGTCATAGGTCATCGGTAAGAACAACCAGTCAACAAGGTGAAGTCTTTTTGGCATCAGTGCATAGGAGAAGCAGAGGTATTTTTTTGCAATTTTGCGTAATACATAAATAAAATAGATCTGAGGGAGCTGTCTCTAGATTCTGTGCCGTGAAACTCACTTCATACAGATGGATCCAAGAGGGTAATAGGTTTAAAGTGTCATTAAACTCACATTATTAAAAGCATTATCAATAAATGCTGTGTTACATTCATTTGCTGTATTCTGCAAAAAAAACGGTTGATCCTTCTATTCTTTGTCTCCCCCTTCTATCCATGTTCCCACTGCAGTTGGGACTTTTGCAGAGCAGTACTGGCATCTAGTGCACATGCTCCGTTTTAAGTGTATTTCTACTCTGAGCATTTCCTACCTATCACAGTAGAGAAGACCATGTGACTATAAGTCACACATAGGTGAATACATAGTTGTAAATGACAGCGCACTCCCTTCCTCCTCCTCCATGCCTACTTACCAGCTAAACACAATGGGGATGGGATATTACATCTTGACTGAGGCCTCACCTCCTTGTTATTCTAAGCCACAGGCTGCAGGGGTGTGACACAGCTGGAGACTCGCTGAAATCCGCCCATACCATGTTATTGTTAAAAAATAATAAAGATTATTATTTTAAATATATATTTGTGTGACAATTTACAATAGTTTATTGATATTAATTTATTATTTTTACTCCGTATCCCAAATGCAGTTTTTTTTTTTTTTAACACATGACCAGCAGCAGAAGACTAGAAGCTCCTCCTGCCACTGTTTTCCTGCAGACAGGCTGGTAAAGAGTTGGGTCATGTGACAGCTACATATCGATTATGAAAAGAGATTTTTTTTTTAAATTATTTATTAAAATAATTACAGTGCCATCATCCACATACAGAAATAGAAGGGACTATGTAAATTAAACAGTGTGTGGTTAGTATCACTTTGAGTTGTAAGGCAAGAATCCTAGTGTAAATTTTCATATCCACGTTAATCATGGATATTGGTCTATTGGTCTAAAGCTCTGACAAAGCAGTGGGTCCTCTTGGTGATAATCATGCTTGGTCCTCTTACCTCATTGGTGATAATTGTGATATGCACAGGTTGCACTGCTCGTTCAAAAGGGGCAGCAAGATTTAGTAAATTTAAAGAGATAGGGGGATAAGATTTTCCCAGTTGTTTTTAGTAATAGTCATTGGACAGTGGCTTTTCTTCATTTGTCATATGTAATTCAGAACTGATGTCATTTTCTGTGAGTTCCCTCAGCCTCAGGGGAAGTTGGGGAACCCTTGATTCTGACAGATATTTAGAAACATTGATTGAGGTATCCAGAATGGAGTAGTGGGCTTTTGAATGGACTTTCTGGTTATTTCTCCTCTCCCCCCCTTTTGTTTTTTCCTTTCTCTTCTTTTTCTTGATTCTATTTAACTGCTATGCGCACACTCTCCTGTGGAGAATTTTGTGTATCCATGACCCACATCAGCTGGCCTGTGGGTTTTGAGAATTTTGATCTCATTTTGCGTCCCCTGCTTGGGATTGTTGTTTGCCTTGGTGGGGTAGTTAGCTCCAATAAGATCATACTCTTCCACTCTATCCCTTGCCCTTGTTGAAGATGTCTTGGCGTAGCTTTTTGACATCTTTATCTTTGTCATTGGTATTTTGCTATATTTTGCTGTATTTCACCTGTGTTGTTGGGCTTTATTATTTACCTTTTTGTTATTGCAGTTTGCTTATGATTTGTATACTCCTTTGAAAAAATGTAATAATCATATTGAAACATCTGCCCAACTGGTGCAATTTTCATAATCTATCTCTACAGAAGTACAATGGATGTGTCCTTTTAAGCTCCATACACATGATGAGAATATCAGACGAATGATCATCTGATTTTTTGTTTTTGCATGCTAGTCTCAATATCAAAAGTGAAGAGGTTACTAAAGGTATGAAAATTCTTGTATGACAGCATAAAAATTCTGAAGTGATATAATGTATTTGTATTGTATTTTTGGATGAAACCTGTACTGATTAAACAAAATTCATATGATCTGGTATTGTATGAAAAAAAACGTTTGTGCTTGTCCCTTGGAATCATTTCAGGCGAAAGCTGCATACTATCAATCAGATTACCATACAATCGCTTTGAAAGCGGTATTTTTCGTATGATATTCTGATCGTGTGTACTAGGCTTTAGCGTTAGAATTTAACCGCATTCCCGCTGCCCTATAGCAGATATACTACTATAGGGCGGCAAAGGTTCGCAAAATCACATATATATACATGATTATGCAGTTTCGAGTAGGGGGCGCACACCCTACCCGCACCACTATTTGCGGCCTCGGCTGTCAATCACTGGGTCCCAGCCGGTGATTACTTCCTGGTACCAGGTGATTGCTGAGCATTACTGAAGGAGGGAGAGAACTGTATGTACACAATACAGATCTCTCACCTGGCAGCTCCTGCACACTGCAAAACAGTGTACTTACAGTTGAAAGCACAACACAGCACACAGTAAAACTGCACACAGTTAACCCTTTGATTGCCACACATGTTAACTCCTTCCTGCCCAGTGCCATTAGTACAGTGTCAGTGCTTATTAGCACTGATCACTGTACTGTCACTGGGGATGTCAGTGACACCAAGTCAGATCCCGCCAGTGTCAGAATGCCCGCTGCAGTCCCGCAGTCCCACTATAAGTTGCTGATCGCCGCCATTACTAGTTTAAAAAAAAAAAATCCCAGTATATATACCACCATTTGTAAACGCCATCACATAAACCAATTAATTTTCACGTATTGGGATTTATTTTAGCAAAGACATGTTGCAGAATACATTTTGGCCTAAATTTATGCTGAAATTACATTTTTAAAATTTTTTACTGGACATGTTTAATAGCAAAGTCAAAAATATTGTTTTTTTCTGAAAATTGTCATTTTTATGTTTATAGTGCAAAAAAAAAAAAACACACATGCGATCAAATACCACCGAAAGAAAGCTCTATTTGTGGGAAAAAATTTCATTTGGGTGCAGCTTTACATGACTGCGCAATTGTCAGTTAAAGTAACGCAACGCCGTAATGCAAAAAATAGCCTGTCAGGAAGGGGGGTAAATCCTCTGGAGGGTAAGTGGTTAATCAGGGAAATAAGCCATTAGATTGTTCAGAAGTGTAAAAGATAATGTAGGAATGACATTTTGTCTGTGAAGGAGCCCATCCAGGAGCTGTGTGTGCCGGAAGGGTGTGCAGTATTTCTTTCCTACAAGGAGTACTGTACTGTATTTGTTGTAGCCAATGTATGGTAATCCTGTTGCAGGTTGGACTGAAGCAGAGTGAATGTTCAGCAATTCATTCCATTCTGAAACACCGTTATTGTGTGCTTTGCTGAACAATGAGAGGTTTCTAGTCAGGAATATGGCTGTACTACATGACATCATATTTTCTAGTCACATCAAGCTTTCCAGCCTTACTATAAGAAAAGCCTCATTGAAAACTGTACAGTTTGCCGCAGTTATCTTTTACGGTTAATTCTGTTTTGGGCGCTTCAGGCTGTGTGGGGAATTAAAGTGCTTGTAAACCCTTACATATATTCAGAGAAGTGACTGGCCTCAGGTGATACGCAGAGATATAACAAATCCTCCTACATAAGTGGTACCTGTTTTACTTTTCTACATCCACTCAAAAGTGCTGAATTTAGAACACTTATCTGAGTTCAGCAAAAAAGGGGGTGGAGAGCTAAAATGACACACTGTGAAGCTCAGTGAGCAGAGATCTGATTGGAGGACAGAGACACAGCCCCCTCCACACAGCACACAGGAACAGAGCTGAGGCTGTCAATCTGCTGGAGGTCCCTCCCCTGTCACCATTTTTCTCTTGGTGTCAGGAAAACTTGTCAGAAGTGATTCATGCTGATAGCAGAGGAACAAGGCAGCAACCAGAAATTACGTTTACAGGTTTATTACAGCTGGAGAGTGCAAAATCAGGCTCACTTCTGCAGAGAAACCAGTCAGCTTCCAGGTTTTATTGCCAAAGCTTAATTGAACAAGCTGAGGTTAGAAGCTGATTGGTTTGTATGCAGAAGTGAGCCTGATTTGCACTCTCCAGCTTTAGTAAACAAACCCCTTAGTGCTCTTAATTGAGAAAAGTACACACTATAGAGGGATATGCTTTGCTCATATTTCACGTCTGAGGTTTACAACCACTTTAAAGCTGGACTCTTGGTAAATAGCTAAACACGTAAGATAATATACATTACAGTGCTGTTTTACCTGACAGATTATTTGTATTTCTGTCTAGCAATTTCTGAGATTTACAAAGTCTGGCCACACTACAAAGCTAAGTGTATGAATCTGCTTACATTTAAAGTGTTACTAAACCCACAACAGTAAAATTAGTCTGTATATGCAGTAAAGCATGCTTGTTATACTCACTGTGGAACCTAAGGGGTTCATCCTCTGTATTGTGTGAAAAGGCTGTTTGATCCTGACTTCTCTGTTCCTCCCCTTCTTCCACAGCCCCAAATCCATCTCCTGACAGAACAGAGCCTTGGGGGCAAGCTGTTCATGCTCAGTTTGGTGTGTATTGCTAGAGAGTTTTTTTTTTTTTTTTGGGAGAGTGCATGTGATCAGCACTGTCAGCGCTGTCCAGACAGAGGGTCAGGGGTCCTGCAGCCTCATAGGACAGTAAGAGGAGAATGAAAACACCCCCTGCAAGCTTGACACTGATAGAAGTCACAAGACTGCTCCAACTGATGAGAAAAGGTATTTAGCAGTTTATATTTACTAAAATAATTGGATTTCCATGCTGTGTGTACTGTGGGAGACCAGATATAGTGAATGCAGGGTCCTGGGTTTAGTAACACTTTAAGGCACAGGTGTCAAACTTGTGGCCCTCCAGCTGTTGCCAAACTACAAGTCCCATGAGGCACTGCAAGATTGGCAGTTACAAGCCTCACTCCCAAAGGTAGAGGCATGATGCGACTTGTAGTTTTTCAACAGTTGGAGGGCCGCCAGCTTGACACCCCTGCTTTAACCCCTTGGGGCCGGTGCCTCCCAGCCCTTTAAGGGTTTCAGAAGCCGGGAGGCGGGGGCGGGGGGTTTTAGGGTCATGTGACCTCCGTGATTCGCTATCACGGCGCTCACATGATCGGGAAAGGTCCCGATCGCAAGAGGAGATCAGGACCTTTCCGAGAGTACCGGACATGTGTGTTGGGGGAGCACGAAGGGCGCATGCTCTCAGGACATATGTTTTTCTTAATTGCACGCAAGTGTGCGGCCGCTTGGCATCAAGGTCCAGGTGCTGGGAGGCAGCACATTTGCGTGCGGCCAGCGCCAAGAGGTTAAGGATTACACTGGTGTCTTCTCTCCACCCCGACCTGCTGACTGGACAATAAAAGTGCAGCATGAGACTGAAGAGGTCATCCTTATTCTGCTCTCTCCTCCTATCAGCATGTTCCATGTCAACACATTTTCTTGCAGCACACCAGGTTGGCTCCCAGTCCTGCCCCCCCTTCCTGAGTACTGATGTACAGGGGACGGCATTTAGTTGCATTAGAAAAATACATTTAAGAAATACTTCATATATACAGAGCTGCATTAATTTGTGTCTTTTCTATCTGCTCGGAGCTCAGGTTTAACTGAGAATGATTATGTAAGAGGATTGTATCATGGTCATGGCTGGTGATCAACACTCTGTGGGCAGTGGAGTGTGAGATCTCCCTGTGCCTGGTAATGATGAATGCGTACAACTGCCACAAGGTTATATGTGCATACGTGACATTTATTTATTTTTGTCACACATTTCTTAGCAGACTTCCAGTGTGCCCTCCATGATAATCAAATTACCCGAAATGGAGAGCTTGCCTAGCCTAGATTAGCTGTGACCGTTCATGTGCTGTAGTCGTGCAGAATAGAACATGGACATACTGTACATAGGGTGCTTCTTTCTGTTCTTGTGATTTTAGAGCAGGCCTATGGAGGGGGACACAAATGACTGAACTTATGACCATTATCTCAGGCCCTATGACTAGATACATCATTCTTGTGGGTAGTCAGCACCACAACCGCAGCAACTTAGTAGTAAGAATTAACCCCTGTACCTTTCCATAAGAAAGCATTGTTTCCCAGTTTACATTTTAACTTTTGACTAGTTAATTCTTCACAACAGCTCCCTTCCTCCTTGCCCTCTCCTGTACTAGAATTGTCTAATTACTGTCTATACTGGACCAACTCTGATGCTTAGGGCTTTTGGATGCCTACACATGGAAGGTTTTATGGGTAAATAACATGCCTACAATACATGAAATGCACATATAATCTGATAGAGAGGTTATTATTGAAATGAATGGTCTAGCAACAGGGTCTCCTTAAAGAAGATGTCTCTTCCCTGCCTGTCCACCTTGTCCGATCAGAGAAAGTTTTGCATTCATTGAGAAAGTGCAAGGTGTTCCTTGAATGGCATCTGTTTCGAGTGAGTGGCCTCCTGTGTTTTCACTGCAGCAGGCTTGGCACTGAACTCAGAAGCTACTGGAGATCACTCGAGTAGCGACACACACTACAGTGATTTCCAGCTTCGATAGGGATCCCACAGAAATGACACATATTTACATTGGTCCAATTTGGACCATTGTAACTATATAAAAAAAAATACCTGGAATTCATCTTTAACCAACTCTCTACCAAATTATTATAACAAAATGGCTGAGCTGGAGCACCGCTGTTCTGGGTGTTTGTCATATGACGTCCTTTAGGTAGGCGCCCTAGAGGATGTTCACCGGACACAGCAGAAAACAGATCATTGTACTGGCTGGCTCTGGTACCTTGTAATTCCTGTGACCAGTCACAGCGATCACATGTCAGTTGGACAGAATGGATTTCATTCATAACCATTCATTGTGTACTATTGTGAAAGCTGTGATTGGTCACAGTAGTCACATGATACAGACAGGTTCAATCACAGTACCATGTGATAGCTGTGCTCAATCACAGTTGTACACAATGGCACATGAATAAATGCCATTCATAGAAAAGGTTAGTTATAACAGTGCGCATCACTGTAATACGCAATCATAGTTTGAAAAAAAAATACTGATTACCTCCCCAGTACTGTGTGGTGACACAGTACTGCTCTGGTCACAGTATGTAAAAAAAATTGTATAAAAAGCAAACAATGTTTACAAATTATAATTCTTTTTCTTTCTTTCTTTTTACATATTGTCACCAGTCAGTGTCCCTGATCACTGCCACATTAGTCATATGATGACACTGTACTGCTCTGGTGAAAGTATGTAAAACAAAATGGTGACTAAAAAACACATTTTATTTAATTTCTTAATTTTTTAAAAATTTGTAACAAAAAATTACAACTTCAAAAAAATTCACCATGACTCTTACTAAATACCTCGTACTGCCTACTATCCAAAAATGGGTCATTTCAAAAATATATACTATAGTTTGTAGATTCTATAACTTTCACACAAATTAAATAATATATACTGATTTGGGGTATTGTTTACCATAGAAATGTAGCAGAATACATTTTAGTCTACATTTTTAAAGAAAGATTATTTATTTGCAAAATTTTATTACAGAAACCAAGAAAACATGTTTTTTTCCCCTAACATTTTTTATATATTTTCATTTATATAGCAAATAAATAAATAAAAAAAAACAATGGTGAATAAATATCAC